TGGCAGGGAAGGCTGTTACAGACAAATCCAACCGTGGTGTATCTAGATGATTCTACCACTGGCTGAAATGCTGGCACATTAAAGGCAGTTCTGCTCTTAGAGAAGACGTGATGGCAGAGAAGGACCACTGTCTTCTTCGTTCATCAGCTTTGTTGCACCATCTGCTCACCTGATGGCTTTGGGAAAGGGGATGTGTTATGACCATGCACTGGGAACTTTGTCACTGTTCGCATCAGCTGGTGACTAGCGTGAGTCCTTTAATGACTGTGGATTTCTTTCTGCATGTTGTCACTGGAGATTCCTTTTCTGAGGCTCCAGGAAAATGAGAAGGTGGGAAACTGGAGGCAACTGAAAAGCCTCCAGGTCAGGCTAAACAACGCAGGGAGGAGTTAGGAGAATTTATATCAATTCCTCTTTCTACAGAGAAATGAAATCTGAACTGGATGGTCGCTCACAGGGTCAAAAGAGGATCACGTGGTTTTCACATATAGAGCATACACCACTTTTTGGGTCATCAGTTCAGGTGTCTGCAAAGAATGCTCACTCAAAAAAATTGACTTGGCAACTCTCAAGGCTCCGTTCCTGAGGTAATAACACCTGCTGTCAGTGGCCTGGTGATGGGGTCTTTGACTTTGGTTTCAACAACAACCCTGCAGAAATTTAGAATGGAGCTGGCTTCTGGTTTTACTTCACCTGGAACGAATGCTATAACAGTTTCTCAGAGGCATCTCTTTGGTTCTTGAAAAGGAGCAAGTTATGAGTCTGTCAGTGGCTTTTATAGAGAAGCATTATATTTTTTGGAAAACTGATATCTGTGAGAATTTTTGGAATTATCATACACTGACAAATAGGTTGTATTTAATGTTGGGCTTGAAGCTGCAGGTGGAACCATCTTTATCACAGTGCTTTTCCTTCAGGAAGCTTCACTGAGGCCCAGCACCTTGGCTCTGGCTGTCACTGCATGCTGGAGTGACATTCTTTGGCCACCCCTCTCTTGACTGTCTCTTTAGTAGCAATGATGATTTTTTCAGGCCTCTCTGAGAACCTCAGGACGATTAGGCCTCACTTTTCCTGCATCTGATAGATAAGTGTTTCTCAGTATGACTACACAGCCTTGCAACGTAATGAATTTACGGGCCAGAGCTTTTGTCTAGAGATACATGGGACACAGGGCTTGTGGCTATGCCATATATTCTGGAGACACTGAATACCAAACCAAGCTGTCCTCTGGGGTCTGGAGGAATCATCTGGCCTTAGCATACACAACAGTAATTTTCTTCACAAGTGGCTACCTAAACATCGATGTTTCTAAAACAGCTTTGTAAAGTCATTCGTAGGGGCTATCTTAGAATCCAGGTCACTTCCTCACCTCCCCCCACCCACCCCAGTATCCTTTAAAGCATAAAAGATTATAGTTTCAATATAGTTCAGGTTTGTATTTTTATTTATTTTTATAATGTTGTTTGAACTTTTGGTGCTGTATTTGAAAAACGATTGCCCAACCTGAGGTCATGAAGATTTATTCCATGTTTTCTTCTAAGAGTTTCATAGTTTTAGCTCTCATATTTAGGTATATGATCCACTTTGAGTTAATTTTTTAATGTATTTATGTGAGGTAGAGGTTTAACATCATTCTTTGACATATGGATACCCAGTTATCCCATCACCATTTGTGGAAAAGACTATTATTTCCCCTATTGAATAGGTCTGTTGACCATAGACATGGGGATTTATATGTGGATTCTCAATTCTGTTCCATTGATCTGTGTGTCTACACTTATGCCAGTACCACATGTCTTGATTAGTGTAGTTTTATAGTAAGTTTTTGAATGAGGGAGTGTGAGTCCTTTGACTTTGTTCTTCCTTTTCAAGATTGTTTTGGCTCTTTAGGGTCCCTTATAATTCTATATGAATTTGAATATTTGCTCTACCATTTCTGCAAAAATGCTAGCTGGTATTTTGATAGGAATCATGTTGAATCTGTAGATCAGTTTGGGGAGTGGCGCCATTTTAACAATGTTAAGTCTTCTAATGTGTGACATGAGATGTCTTTTTATATATTTAGAAGGCTTCTTTAATTCTTTAATGTTTTAAGTTTTTCAGTTATAGTTTTAATTTATTTTCCTAAATTTATACCTAGGTATTTTAATATTTTTAATGCTATTATAGTAGTCATTGTTTTCTTAAGTTTATTTTCAGGTTATGCACTGGTAGTGTATAGAAATACAATTGATTTCCATATATTGGTCTTGAATCTTGTAACTTTGTTGAACTTATTAGCTCCAATCATTTTTTTAGTGGATTCTTTAGGATTTTCTATATACAGGATTATTTAATCTGCAGATTAAAATAGTTACTACTTCCTTTCCAATCTAGGAGCCTTCCCTCTTTTTTTTGTCTAATTGTTCTGGCTAGACCCTCTATCACAATGTTGAATAGAAGTGGTAAGAGCAAACATCCCTGTCTTGGACTTTCCTCAGGAGGAAAACATTTGGTCTTTTAACATTAAGTATGGTATTAGCTGTGGGATTTTCATAGATGGTCTTTAGCTGGTTGAGGAAGTTCTCTACTATTCTTAGTTTGATGAGGCAATTCCTAGTTGGATTTTGTCAAATATTTTTTTGTATGGTTCTTGTTTTTTTATTCTGTTAATATTATGTGTTTTATATATCTTAGGATAAATCCCACTTAGTTCTGGTGCATGATCCTTTAAACTGTATATGTTACTAGATATAGTTTACTAGTATTTTGTTGAGGATTTTTGTATTTATATTCATAGAGATATTCTCCTATAATTTTCTTGTGATTTTTTTTCTGTTTGATATCAGTGTAATACTATCCTCATAGAATGATTAGAAATTACTTCCTCTTCTTCTACTGTTTGGAAAAGTCTGTGAAAAATTGGTTTTAATTTTTTTGAATGTTTGAATTTACCAGTGAAGTCATGTCTGGGTTTTTCTTTGTAGAAATATTTTCAGTTACTAATTTGATATCTTTACTTGTTATAGAGTTACTCAAACATTTTATGTCCACTTGAGTCAGTTTCGGCAATTTGTGTCTTTCTAGTAATTTGTCCCTTTCACTTATATTGTCTACTTTATTGGCATATAGTTGCTTATAATATTCCATTTTAGTCCTTTTTTTTATGTCTTGAAGTTGGTAGAGATATCCCTTTTTCATTCCCAAGTTTAGCAATATGTCTTTTCTCCATTCTTCTGTCCCTCCCCCTTTAGTTTCTTAATTAGTGCAGTTAATGCTTCTTAATTTTTTTGATCTTTCCAAAGAACCAGCGTTTCCACTGATTTCCTCTATTGTTTTGCTATTCTCTATTCCCTTTATCCCAGCTGTAAGTGTCCCTCTGAGCAGTGCTTTTGCCAAGTCACATATGTTTTCATATGTTGCATTTTCATTTTCATTCCTCTCAAGGTATTTTCTCCTTTATTTCTTTCTTCTGTGACACATTGGTTGCTTAGGAATGTATTGTTTAATATCCATGTATTTATGAATTTCCCAAATTTTCTTCTGCTTTTGAATTCTAATTTAATGCCATTGTAGTTTGAAACATACTTTTATGGTTTTAATCCTTTTAAATTTATTAAGACTTGGTCTATGTCCTAGCACATGATGTGTGCTAGGAGAATGTTCCAAATGTACTTGAGAAGGATACCTATTCTATTGCTGTTGGGCCAAGTGTTCTATAGATGTCTGTTAGGTCTACTTGGTTTAGAGTGTTGTTCAAGTATTCTATTTTCTTGAGGATCTTCTGTCTAGTTTTTCTACTTATTATTGAAAATATGGTATTGACATACCAACTTTTGTTGTTGAATTGTCTATTCCTTCAATTTTGTCAGTTTTTGTTTCATGTGGTTTGAGGTGCTGTTGTTGATGTATATTTGGTTATAATTTTTATATTTTCTGGATGGATTGATCTTTTATCATTATGAAATTTCCTCTTTATTTCTTGTAACATTTGTGTTTTAAAATATGATTTTTAAGCTACAGGCACAGCAACTCCAGTTCTCTCTGTTTTTTTTTTTTTTTATTTGATGGTGTATCTTTTTGTTGTTGTTGTTATTGTTAATCCTCACCCAAGGATATTTTTCCATTGATTTTTAGAAAGTAAAAGGGAGGGGGAGAGACACACAGAGAGAAACATACATATCAATTGATTGCCTCCTAAATGAGGTCGGGGATCAAGCATGCAACTGAGGCTCAATAAAATCTGGGACCCTTCAGTCCATAGGCTGATGCTGTATCCATTGAGCCAAATCAGTTAGAGCTGAGGGTATATATTTTTTTAATTCATTTGTGTTTAGTGCACAGTTTTTTTTAATGATGTCAATATTTTTATTTTAAAAACTAGTGGCCCAGTGCAGAAAATTCATGCATCGGTGGGGGTGTCCCTCAGCCCAGCCTGCACCCTCTCCAATCTGGGGCCCCTCGGGGGATGTCCCTGTGGGAACAGCCTGCTTGCCCCAAATTGTGCCCCCTGCCAGCCTCCTCACCCCCAATTGCCCTCCCCTCCTGGCCTGATCACCCCTAACCACTCTGCCTGCCGGCCTACTCACCCCCAACTGCCCCCACAGTGGCCTTCTCACCCCCAACTACCCCTTTTGCCAGCCTGATCGCCCCCAACTGCCCCCCCCCCCCGGTCTAATTAGCATATTACCCTTTTATTAGTATAGATGATCATATAATGCAATTCCCTTTTTTGGCGTTCAGCTTTATGATTTTTCACACATGTAGATGCCCTTAGTAGGACAGAAACTAATTATATCACCCCCAAAGCTCCCTTGTGTTGTTTCTTTACAGTTCACATGTCCTGTAAGCCAATCCCTAGCATACAATGATATTCTCCCTAGTGGAAAATTTTTATTACACCATCATAGGTTAGGAATGCTTATTGCCATTGTTATCATTATCACTATTATTTGACTTTTATTTTGTTGATTAATCATTGCTGATAGTCTTTCTTCTTTTTCAACCTTTCTGAACTTTGGATTAATGATATAACTGCATTAGCATAAAGCATTTAGTGTTGGTGGGATTATTTTCTGGGCTGAAATATTGATTAGAGTCATGTAAATGTAGTAGATTCTTAGAAGACTTATCACAAAATCAAGATGAAGCTTGAGGCTTACTTAAGGGTTAGTATTTTCCACAAAAATTGAGGAACTACTACAGCATTGTTATATTACCTGCTCTGAAAGGTAGCCTAGAAATTTAAGGTTTTTGGTGACAGCTGAGTTCCAGTTTTGCAATTGTGAATGGCTCCTGAGTATGCCTGGAATCCTACTCCATCCTCCCCCTCTCTGATTGGCTTTGCAAAGCAAATAGAGTATAACAATAGGAGTTCTGGAATGCTCCTGTGTGTTTGTATTATTGTTAACTCTTATCCTCTCTTTTCAGAGACAAGAGATTAAGTTAAAACTAGATGGGAATCTTCAAAGGATGTAACAGGATTTCCCCCCTCTCCCCCCACCCCAACACTGACCTTCATACCTTCCCAGGCAGGAAGTTTTCCGTGTGTGTGTGTGTGTGTGTGTGTGTGTGTGTGTGTGTGTGTGTGACAACATGATGGGGCAGGTCCATCAATGGGGAAAACCCCATGGGAGAACACGCCTTTTGTGTACATTCCCAATATTTGCTATAAGTAGTGCCATCTCAGTCCCAGGTTGCTATCAGAACACCACAACACCCCAGGGAACTGGGTACCCACTACTGAGCACTTCTATTCTTTGAGCTGAAAATGATGGGCTATAGCAAGATTTTGCTCCTGGCTGCTTTGATGTCGTCAGTGCTGCTATTCCACTTCTGCAGCGAGACCGAAGGTAGGTGTCACTCTTTCTGCTCACAGGGCAGGAAGAACTATTTTCATTTTCTTCTAAGCCTTGAACTCATCTGGGGTGTCCCCAGAGGATAGAAGCCTGTTAGAAAGTTTTCAAAAGGGAGTCATGGGAGTTGTCAGCTCATTGGTGAGTGAAGGAGGGACAGGTTCCTGCTGCTGGCCAGGCTTTCTTCTCTGCTGTCAATCACAGCAGATTGTGGGGTGGGTGGGCTCCCAGAGACCCCTAAGCTCCAGAATACTGCCAAACTGCTATTTCTGGGATGGTGTAAATTGAGGAGCATTACCAGTGAATGGGGTCCTTCTGAAATGTAAGGAATGTTCCCACTACCCCAACTTTCTCATCTCACAACTAAATAGTTTCAGCAAAATTCAAAACTCATTATTTAGGGGTGGATTATGGCCCCTGAGTTCTTCACGCTTGCAAGGCCTCTGGAACATCACTTGCCAACTTTGTGATAACATTTATCCCCCATCTTACAACAGGTTATAATTCAACGGGAGGAGTGTCCAAGTATTGCTTTATTGTTGTAAGAGAGCATCACTTTTTAGCAACAGGTGCATTCCTAAGAATGAACAAAATGAAAAATTTCTATGAACTCTTATAATTTCAAAATGCTTTATTTATAGTTCATAAAAAAGCAGCTTTTATGAATCACATTTTCCTTTGTAAAGTCTTACCCTTTCATTCCTCTCAGTACTCAGCAGCCAGATGATAGATGAAAATCTGCCAATTTAAAAGATTATCTATGAATTTCTTCATGTGAGAGTTACTCATATTCTTGAGTAATTATGGTGGATTGAAATAAGAAAGTCAGTTTGTGTTTCTTACTAAAGACTTTCCCTTTATGAGAAGTCATGTGCTTCTAAACTATATTATTGAACCAAAATTTCCCAGCCCACAAACTATTTTTTTTGAGAACTGAGAACTATGTTAAATTCAGTCTCAAAGACACTGAAACTCCTCCTTTAAATAGTTTACCACGTAGATCAGATTCTAGGCTTCCCCACAACTACAAGTAGTTTCATAACACCTGTCACAGAATAGTTCATTCATATGGACTCAACACCGTTCATTTCTTTTTAGCAGCAAGCTCCTTCGATTGCTGCCTTCGATATACAGAACAAGTCATTCCCAGCAGATTTATCAAGGGCTTCACACAGCAGTGGGCCAATGATGCTTGTGACATCAATGCAGTCATGTAAGTTATTAACTGCTTTTAACTCAATTGTATCCCGAGTACATGGGAATTTCAGGCATAAAAATTTTTGCCTTTTTTGAGTCTCACTCAGAAATATGAGATGTGGCAAAGATATGCTTTAATAGTGCATGTCTATTTCAAAGCTCACTTTTTATAGATATTTAATTTTATTAAATTTGTTGGGTTGGCATTGGTTAAAAAAATTATGTAGGCTTCATGTGTACAATTCTACAGTATATTGTCTGTATAGTGCATTGTGTGTTCACCACCCCAAGTCAAGTCTCCTTCCATGGTGACGGAAGGAGACTTGACTCAAAGCTCACTTTAAATGAGACTGGCCTAAGGCAAAGGTTTTTGC